GCCAGCACTCTCCCTGTGGTGCACGGCTCCCACCACACTTCAGGAATCGGATGGGAAACACTATCAGGTTCAATGTTAACCTTCACAGGTTATCGATTTGACTGCTGCCTTTATTCTAGGCAAGTTACTTCTGCACCCGTTTATACAGTTGAGTATTTTGCTGGAATAATTTGGGTGAAGTTCAACACTAAAGGGTTCAACAGCATAAGCTACTGCCAACTACTCCAGAATATACAGCATGTCACTTTTTCTTTCAGAAATAGCTGTAGCTTTTTAAAAGACTTACCTCTTTTTAAAGGGAAGGAAACATTGCTTTCAGAACACATAGACATGTAACTGACAGAACTAAAAAGAAATGTCAAAATCACTAAGATGGAACATGAAGACTAAACAAGTGGTTATGATATTTTTTTTAAAGAAATTCTGTATTTTTTTAAAGAATATTATTTTCTGTGGTAAACACGCTATAGATAAGGGAATGACAGTATTCATAACCATAGAAAAGTTTATTGTACAAGGAACGTTTAGATAATATATAATACAGTAGGATGCCTGTGCACTATGAAGTGATATACTACATGTAGGACTATTCTGCACTTTGAAGTTACTTTAAAATACTGTTTTGATCTACAAGGAGAAATGCACTCTGTGCTGCTATGTACTCATCAAATCCTGTTTGCCCACTGAAGTCCTACCTTAGCAGATATCCTTCTAGTTTCCTCTTTTAAAAAAAGTCAGCTTCTGAATTGTAACAATATAATTACACATTTCATTATCAAGTATCCCCGTTTCATTTTGTGAAGTTCACTCACATTGTTAAAGTGATGTTTTTGCTTTTTTAATTGCCTCCATTATAAGATATGAAACACACAACACAATCTATACTGTATGAAGAGAAAATAGTACCTTGGATCTATTTGTTGCTACTGAAAGACATGCTTCTGATGCATATTTTCTGCAGTAGCCCTGTGAGGAGTTGTGGTCTGTTCTTTGACAGTACCACAGCTCCTCAGATGTCACAGCTGAGCCACAGATCAGGCACTCAGCACCCGTCTTGCGCGTCCTGTAATTCTCACTACATGGCTCCACCTTCATATACAGGCACTCTCACATTTAATTTAGATTAATAATCTAATCACAATACAGTTCCATTACACAAGTTAGTGGTTGAAAAAACGTATTATTTGCCATTCACACCTTGAAAGTTCACAGCTCAGAAAAACATCTGCAGTTCTGAAAACTGAACTGAATTAAAGGTTTACCTCACTGTAGTTGGGCTGCAACAGAGGATCAGAGGGAATTTTTTTAGGTTCTTGCTAAATCATTAGTCTTCATCAATCCTAGATCATAGCCTAGTAAAACCAGGAATAGAGGAGAAAGAAAAAAACTACTGTAGAAGAGACAGAATGAAGAAGGAATGGAATGAAGACCAAGAGACAGTTCATCTCCTTGTTCATGGTTCATGCCAAGTGAGAGGACTTTGTTTGGATCAGTCCCGGAACCATTCGCATCCCAGTTATGACTCTTTCTCCAAAGCCTTGCCAGAAAATAAAGAGCTCACATGCCTGAATTTACACCTAGTGCTTCAATTTATTTTCATTATTGGTGCACTCTCCTGCTCTGTTTTCCTGACACCACCTGAATTGTAACAATATAATTACAATTTTCATTTTATATATAGTTTCTTTCTATCTGAATCTGTCAATGTGGGTTTCTTACAAAAATAAA